GACCCCGCACAACAAAATCTACTCGACCACCATTATGGTTACCGCCAAAAAAAAAAACAGAGGTAAAAAAACCCCGGTAACCTGGTTGCCGAGTTCACGAAGTGACTTGGCTTGTTTTACAACGTGGTTGCCAAGCGACGAAAACCCAACCCCGATGGCAAACACCGGGGGGGAGGGGGCGGGGGGTTGGTTGGGTGTTTTCGTCATCACTCTTGAAATATACAAGAAAAGACTATGGCCGTTTTGGGTGGTGGCGGTGGTGGCATTGGTTTGTTCTCGGTGTTGTCATCCACAAGTCAGGCGTCTGCAGGGGTAGGGCGTTCGATCATGATATCCCCATGTCGATCATGATACAGCAGTGGTTGTCCCGATGTACCTACCACAGTCCCTACTAGGGCGGGTGGGTTCAGGAACACCGCGGTAAAAATTCTCTTGCCACGGGATTTGTCTAGGATAATACTAAATGTATGTAAATACCCCCCAGTACTCAATAGTGCGGTGTCCCGATACACATACCGCGGTTGAGCGTGCTTGTCCCACACTGTACACCGCGGTATATCGGGACCATCAATTTATTGCATGATACGCCAGGAGAGTTGCGCAAGGGAGGGGGTCGCGAAGTGCGCATGCATGCCTCACGGGGGGTTGTCAGCGTCACGCAAACCGTACACCCTCGTGATTCCTACCAAATCGAGTCGGAGAACATGAATCGACTGACGCCGATGAGCAGGGGGCTTGCGGGGCGTGAGAGCGCGGAACACCGAGAGATGTTCCGCGAGTGGCACCAACGCGGCCTACCGGAGGGTAGTAGGGGAGTCTCGCCCCTCTCTCTGCGTCCTGTCTCAGGCTCTGTCTGTGTGTCTTGTGTGTTTGTGTGTCTGTGTGTCTGTCTGTCTCTGATCTCTCTCTCTATATATACACACATACATCCTATCTCTCACCCCAACGAAGAAATATGAAGTCCACCGCACGCGGGTTCTCGTGGTGTCTCAATGAACGATGCAGAGGCGTGGCACTTGGACTACGGGAAAAAAAGCTTCACAGAGGCAAGGTACAAACAAGTTGCACAATCCCGAAATCCACAAAAGAACAAAACAGAATAAACAGAGCAAGTTGCGGAAACACCCCCCAAACACCATCGTATCAAGGGATGCTGCGCACATCACCTTGAAGGACATCTTGAGGGCGTCGTACACGAGCAGCCGACCAGAAAGCACGTCTCCTTTGCCCAGCAAGATCTTTATAACTTCCGTCGCCTATTTACATACGACGAGTCAAGAGCACGGCGTGTGATTTCTTTCCTTTTGCAAGAACGAAAGGCTTGCGCGGCACAGGATGTCAGGGCGTGCAAGAACGGCAGCGACGTCGCTACAAGCTCGTCGTTGACGCTGCTACTGCTTGCCCTTGTAGAGGTGCAGCCCATCCCCTCCAAAAGCCCCACGGTGGCGAGTCAATAAAGGCCGCCAAAAACGCCAAACCCTGCCACCACCAATCCCCAAACCGCAGCCACATCACACGCACGAAGAGAAAAAGGCGCAACGCTGCAGCGCAGCGCAGACGCCGCCTGCAACCAGCACCTGTATGCAGCCCACGACCCCGGGGAGAATCCCTAGCACGCCCCCCTCGGCGCACGAAGGCACCAGTCCCGGTGGTGGCGGTGTCGGCAGGAGATCTCGGTAGGTCGGTCCGCCCTTCGAAACAGCGACGACGACAATGACGAAAACGACAAATTTACGACTTTGTAATTTTTGTGTTATTGCTGCTGTTTTTTCAGCACCATGGCGGCGGTAGCGGCGGCAGCGTAAGAAAAACACCACTCCGGGTTCAGAGACGTCACAATGCGATGCAATCGACCGCATGAGGGAGACCGGCATAGGAAGAATCCCTTTGAGATCGCCCCACGAAGGAAGGTCGTCAACCCGTGGAATACCAAGTTGCAAAACCGTGGTAGGCCAGTCTTCTCCGACAGAAGCACGCCACACTAAAACCGAGATTTCCATCAGAAGACAAAACAACTTTTCGGTAACCTCACAAGTGTACACGGCACGTAACATGGTTTTTAGGTGAAAAAACACCAAGGGCTTCCCGGACAGCAGGAAATAACGTGTTCCCGCGATTGGGGGATTGGGGCGTTGTGAATGATCATGCCTTGGCGTTGAAATCTTCTCAAACAACGGCCATGACCGGGGAAAAGCAAGAGATTAGTGCCGTCGGCTGTGTCAACTCTTCGCACGCAGCAGCAACGAACAGCAAGCAACACGCAAGCGCCGCCGATGGGGCGGAGCAAACAGCCGCGGGTTCGCTCACCTTGTAGGTGAAAACCGACATCTGACCCTCGAAGCCTAAGATGGCCCCGTACACGTTAGGGATTCCCAGGATCTCACACGCGTCGTTCACAAGGTACTTGGTAGGAAAATTGTCGCTCCCGTCCAACACCTGCGGAAAATTAGGCGCGCGCAGGACTTGCAGTTGAGACGGGGGCTGGATCAAAATAGCTGCCAAAGCGCCGCTCAACAAGGGTGATGGTACCAGGGGGCACGCCGACCGGGCCCAACGCTAGGAACGGCTTTGGCGGGCAACACTGACAAATCTTGTCCAGGATATCAAACACCCATACTCACACGTAAGACAACTGTTACAGATATGGAAAGGTTTTCTTTTCGGTTCCTTGAGGATCGCGGGGCTGTTCGAATGCGAAAAACACGTCAGTTGTGTGAGCTGAGCTTGGGAGGCGTGGCAGCCAGCTGTGGACTGGTCCTGCTGCCTGCTCTCAATTTCATCTTGCGTCACCCCCCTTTGATGACGCCGTGCTGCTCTCATGAGCCCACTCCAAGAGGGATGGACCCCTTGTAGCAGAATAGTTTTGTAAGGCACCCATCGTAGTTATTGGCAGTCTCACCACATCGTAGCCGTCGCATATTCGAAGGGCGTTTTCGCTGGTGAGCTGTTCGTGGAAAGTTTCCACCTTGATGTGTGGATTCACGTCCAGCATGCGGTCTCTCGCCGAGTCCACCTTCGGCTTCCCAAGGGTGGCGGTCCCGTGGATCACCTGAGCAAACGGGTAGGAGGGAGGTGTACTCATAGTCGTGCATGCCGTAGTCTCTAGACCATTGACCTCGCATCCCTACAAAGCCGGGACGGAGCATGCCGGGTTCTAACCAGACCAGGCTATCGAAAGGGTAGGAGGGTCAGGGCAAAAGTCGTATGTGTGAGCAACTACATAGGTAGACAAGCAAAAAAAAGAAAAGAAAAGAAAAGGTGAATCAGGGGAGAGATGTGGGCGGAAGGGGATAGGTACAAAGCAGGCCCGCCGGCTTTGTCTACTGTCTTACCACTTGCGCGCACCTACTGCTCAGGTCCTAATGCATCGAGAACAAGGAATGCATCGATTGTATGTCTTCGTGCTCGCTGGTGCGAGTCAGCTCACAATGCTTTCGGCGAACGCCACTCTTCGTCTCAGGGACGTTCAGCAACCGAACCTGAAGTCTGCTTCTACAGCAGCAGTACACGATGTCGACACCCCCGTTGTAAAGTCGGATTGACAACACCGCATGTCTTTCCTCACACAGGCAGTTCTGCCTCGACAACAGCAAGCAGTGCAAGGTCTCCCGAAGATACATGCATCGCAAACAAAACCGGTCGCCCTCTCCCTCATCACCTGCCGTTGAAGATTCGACTCGTCCACCACGTCATCGTCCACGATCCCGAGCCGGCCCACGCCGGCCGCAGCCAGGTACAGCAGCGCCGGCGACCCCAGCCCCCCCGTGCCTACGGCGAGGACCGAGCTAGCCTTCAGGCGCCGCTGGCCCTTGACCCCGACATCGGGCAGTATCAGGTGGCGAGAGTACCGCCGCACCTCGTCCTGGTTGAGCTCCGGGAGTGCTTCCTCGCTCTCCGGACTGCTGTCGTGCGTAGGTCGTCGCTTCGGGGGAGACACGGACAGAGAGAACACGGGCCGCGCTCGCCGCCGCCGCCGCCGCCACCTGCCCGTTGGTGTCGACGTCAAGGTTGCTGAGCGGACGAAGGTGCTGCTGCTGCCTCTTATCGCTCTGCTGCTGCTGTCGCCGCCGCGCGCATCGCGACTTACAGCAGCTGTGGGCCGCGAGGGAGAGACAGCAAAAGCATTGACACCCGTGGTGTGCCGGGTGGAAGCTGTAGTGGCTGAGCAGGCGGGCGGCAAGATGAGTGTTGTCAGCAGCAGGCAGAATATGAAGCGATGAGTGCAACCAGCTGTGCGTGCGTTGATGAAGTCCCGCCGCGTCCATACCCGAAAAGGCACATTGTCTGCCGAGATGCCTGCCATCGTCCGAACAGAGCACACGGATAAGAGGCGGGGTTGATGCGTTACCCCCAGATAGCGTCACCGAGAGAGTCTGGCGGTCAAGTGGCAACCGATAGGCAAGGAGTAGCGGCAAACTTCATGGTTGCCATGGGCCGTGGGGGGGGCGCAGAAGGGAAATATATGAATAGACGAACATCTCGCGGGGGGGAGGGGGCCATCAAAACAGAGCTCCCCGAAAAAAAAAAAGGGAGCTGCAGGCGTGCGAGTGTTGTTGCTACGTACAAAGCTACCGCTGTTCATTCCCCGTGACCCTCTCACGCAAAGAGCGGCTGCCCCCAAGAGAGGACGGAGACAGACCCCAGGACGACGCAGAGTCCAGACTTACCGTGCTTGCGGTCGCGCTTTTTCAAGCTTGCAAAGAAATATAGAGAGGTGAGAGCACACAGGCCGAATGTTTGTCGTTGGTCGTTAAAGCATTTCTCGCCCCAGCCAGCATTGGTCTCGGGAGCTCCGCGTTCCTGTGTGGTGCCGAGAAATACCGGGCCTGTCTCGATTTGTGCTTGGAATGCCCCGGTCTCGACTGCTTGTGCTTGGAATGGAGAAAAGAAGTCCGCGGAAAATGTGCCTATGGTCCGTTCGGGTAAATAATCACAATCTTGTTTTTCGCGATATCTTTCGGAAAAAAACGATTTGGAAAGTGAAACAACTTTGGGCGTGACCGCGGCGTCGAGCTTCGTCGATATCCGATGAGTTTTGGTGATTGGGTGAAATGCGACATTTTTGACCAAAATGACCCACGGAGCCCCCACCCCCCCACCCCCCC